GGGCTCGGCTGCTGACCCGTAGGTCCCGAGTTTGATCCCAGCCACGGTGCTCGCATTTTGACGGAGGCGATATAATAAAGGCCCGTGTGCTGAACGATGTCAGTGGAGGTTAACGAACACCCGATGGTCGAAATTTCGGGAGCCCTCCACTACGGCGTCTTTCATAATCACATGCATCGTGGTTTCGGGGCATAAAACCAGACATACTGTTAATACTAGTATGAAAGCTTTCTGCACCTAACGTATATAGTTTTTAGATGCGGAGCATCTTATACTCGCGCCTTGTAGTGCGCCGTCCGCGCCGTTCGCACCGCTTCTCGAACATTCGACAGCTGACGCGCGCGCATGCGCCGTCGCGCCGTCGCCCACTCTTCCACCATCTGTGCATCCCTTCCTCCTCTACACACCGCGCGTGCTTCACTCCTCCACCATCTGTGGAGGAGTGAAGCCCTCCACAGATGGTGGAGGGCTTCACTCCCCCTCCTACAACCCCCCCTCCTACAACCACGTTAACCAATTTAGCCATCGACCCAAGTAAGTCGCACTTTAACACCCCGTTAACCAATTATATGCTCCGCATCCTCCTCAGTGTTCCCCCGAGGGAAGCTGCGGGCAATTTTTTTCACTGCCTTGAATATTGGAGACAGCTCGCCTGGTCTTCTATAGCCTCCGCGACCGGATCGCATTTGACAAAGCTATGACCCGATGCGATGACACCACCATGGTGACGTAACGGGGAATGCAAAGTGCTCACCATATATTATACATTCTTATGCCAGGTAGCTTAAGATTTTCGCTACGGGCCCCTGTTCAGTAATTAGTTTTTCATCTAATTCAACTAAAAGATGCAAAGCTATGGTAACGTGTGCTCAAAACACTTGCCAGGCATCGGTGGACCACCAATGCCCGTTTACCACTAGAAAGCAAATTGTTGGCGTACCCAGAGAAATAACTGAGGCTATACAGATAACTTACATTGCAATGCGTACAAAAACTTGACTCAACTCGCAGTGGTGATTGCGAACCGCAAGCTCTATTTATCGGCAGTTCATTTTGTTTTTCATTTTGTTTGTATTCATTTTGTAAATCCGTTTCGAAACCAGGTCTAAATCGTATTTTTTCATGCACCATATCCTACTATCAAATGAAATTCTTTTTGCACGGGACGGCTTATGCTCTCCCATAGTTGAGTACATCGTACTCTAAATCGTTAACAACTTTTTCTAAACACATTTATCGGCAGTCACATGTCGGGACGGCTTTGTGCTCTCCCATAGTAGAGTACTCTAAATCGTTAAACACTTCTTCTAAACACTTGTTCCTCTATCTCAGATTTCTGACAGGGTGAGCTTAAAGCTCTCCCATAGGAGAGTACATCGTACCATAAATCATCGAACATTTGTTCAAAATACACACTTATTGCTTGCCAATACCAACCCCTACTACATCAATGTAGTACATAGTACCGCGTAGTCAGTTACGACATAACAACGGTTAGCAGTTCTGTGCACAAGTATACAACTGACGAGCGAAGCTCCTTCGAAAAGAGACACAAACGACCGGACGCTTCATCTCGCTGTTGGCTTTCATAAAGACGCTATAGCGGTAAGGTGGCTAGAATTCTAGCCACCCCCGTAGTGGTGGGGCAACATTTCAAAAAGCAGTACAGTTTCGCAGCTCCGCTCGCGAGCCGGCACACCCAGCTACGCACGAGCGGCTGACACGTGAACACAGACACGATGCACATGCCGCACTGAGCTGCGAAGTGGTCATAAGAGGGAAAAGAAGAGAAAAGTGAGCCCCATAACTGTCTGCATCAGGGTGCGACACCTCAACAGTAGCTCACAAGGGGTGGAATTGTAGAGGGATTAAAAGGATGGGAATGAAGGTATATATATATATATATATATATATATATATATATATATATATATATATATATATATATATATATATATATATATATATATATATATATAGAGAGAGAGAGAGAGAGAGAGAGAGAGAGAGAGAGAGATGCACTAGGACAGCGAGCGAAGACATATGAGGGAGAGGAGAGATAGGAAGGATGGAAACACGGTCACAGGAGTCCGAGGACGGGGCACCACTTGCGAGAGCATTTGTCGGCGTCAGAAAATGGCGTAGGGTAAGTGCAGTAGGTCAGAGCTACGCTGTCGTCGGAGATCGCGAGGGCACGACCGGTCGACACGGAATCCAGCGAGGGAGTCCCGCAGTGAGCTGAGACGCTCAAGGAGTAGCCGCTTGCGACGCTTTTCTTCGTGTTCGCTTTATCCGCACTCTGTGCGTTATTTGCGTCCGCGTGATGCATGATGCAAGATGGAACTGCAGCGCCGCTAGCTCTTGAGTCGGCCGTTACGTCCACTTAGGAGAGTGAGCGGGTGTGGGGAGCGGTGATGCGGCAGGGAGCTTCGACGGCGGGGCTGAGGGGCTTCGCTCCTTGAAAGTTGACAGGGTGCCTTAAGCACACCCTTAAGATGATTCCAAGGTGAAAGCAGCCTTCTTTCTCTTTTCAGTCAACCTATTTATCATCTTTCGAACCCTTTAAGGCCTTTTACGCTTAACGTGGTCTCACATCACTACCTGGATCAGAAGCATAGCAAGCTTTCCGTAGTTCACTTCGTTTTGCACTGCCTCTGCGATCAGCTCACTTTTGCCCAAGCGAATATGTCAAGTGATGACGTTTTCATATAACGTCCCGTTACAAAGACGTCACAATTTTGTGATCTGTGACGTCATATGCTAACGTCATACAGTGACTTCATCACCTGATGACGTCTTGCATCACTTGGGTTGACGTCGCCGAAGGACGGTTGATGAGACGTATTGGGCTTTCGGCAGAATATTTTTCGTGAAGCTGGGACTCGAACTTGGGGTCGCACACTGCGAATGTGAGGTTATCACCCACTCGGGTAAATTCACAGGCTTCCAGAATTCGCAATACATTTCAACTAAATGAATACCTTCCACCGACATAATCATCGTCCTCAGCCCGACTGTACTCACTGGAGTACCAAAGTCGGTAACACGCTTAGCCAACCAACCCGGTCTCGGGGTATACACGGCTACGTCTTTTCTGCAAACTCTGGGTTAACTTCCTGCCTGCCCCTGACACGCTCGCCTTTTTTCGGAACCCAGTCTACTACTCTAAAAATTTATCCTGCAACACTTTTACGGCCCGGTCAGAGCAGACTGGCTATCGGTATATAGTCGCGGATCCACAGAAGACGCTTGGCAAACACTGATGCGCCACACATTGGCTGAAATTCACAATTAATTCTGAAAGTCCTATATTATTTTTTTCTATTTTCTTTATACAAGTAAAGCCGTATAGCCGAGTGACCGCGCCATATGCCCAATTCAACGGTCATTGGCTCATAGCATTGCGAGCTGCGTAGTTGCCGTAACCACCACGGGAGGCCGCCATGTGCTCTCGAGAGCACTCGCGATCACACATGACGTCATGTCATGAAGTGAACAACGTTTACAGTCCTGGCACCATCATAACACAATGGCGTGACGCCATTGTGTGACGTTCTCGCCAGCTTGGTGGAGCTCACATGCTCTGTAGTGGTACGCGGACGAACGCCCCAAAAGCGAGCAGGGTTTTAGCCGTTTACAGCAGCTCTATCAAAGGATACCACTTATTGTGAAGGCCCGGCTCAAATATTTCATCGTAGTAGAAAAAAAAGTCACAGCTTAGCCGCAAAGGTCAAGCCATGAACGCGATAGCAACAAATTAGCATGTCACGTGCCGAATGGCAAGCTGATCGAAACGTGCTCCGCGTTTCTCATGCATAAATGACGCACAGAACGTACTCACAGGTACAGATGAACGCAAATAAGCGTCTCAGTTGTTACTTTGCCATGTTTGAAAAGCGCACTCTTTTCGTAAACGTAGGCTGTGCAACGATTGCAGTGACTATGTGCGCCCGGTAACTAAAACAGGATCGTACCGGCAAAAGCCAAACGCCAGCCAAGACGTACGATCCTCCCTACCGCGAGATAAGTGTGCGCGATTGAGCGTCAACCCCCTGCTCTTTGCGGGGCAAAGTGCGCGTGGGAGATGAGAGTGCGGCAGCCACGTAATGACGATGTGGCGACACGCGCTCATTGCACCATATTGCTGGTAATGCTGAAGACACGATAGTTCCCTCCCGAGATGCCCGTCAGCAGCGGTAAGTGGTAGATACAGATAGCTTGCTGTTTGAGCGTTGAAAGACGTGTTACTCGGTGGCCCAGTGGTTAACGCCTTGCACTCACGATTCAGAGGGCCGAAGTTCAATTCCGCGCACCAGAGTCAATTTTCTGGATTTTTTAATTTCTTGCATTTTCATATATGTAGATGCGTAAACATATGCAGTGAGTGACGGCAACGCTTACGCCAACACCGGCGGCAAAATCCAGCCAAGAGTGGCCATATAATTGACATTCCAATAAAACTGGCGTACAACACAATTGGTAACGTGGATATGAAGATAGCTATAAGACGATGCAGACAACAAGCACCAGCATAGTGAGCGCACCTAGTAACGATGACTCCAATTCCCAGGGTGTTTTCCCAGAGCGTCCCCGTACACACCTTTTAGGGGCCGAGGCATGCGCCTTTCTCTAAGTGTGCACCAGCTGTTGATGAACTACCATTATATTGAATCAAAAGACGAGGACGTCGATCCCAAAAAAATCAAAACGTATTTACACATGAACAAGATCGTTCATAATCGTAAATATTGTGAACAGGACTCCCAATCTGGGTGTGAAAGCGTCCATACGTTTTATTCCCTTGAGGTCGACGTGCTCGTATATTAAGTCAGTGATTTGTTTGCGACCAGACGGCTATCCGTTGAAGTCCGGGCTACCCAGAAGCTAAAACTGGCGCTTCACGGCCTGGAACCTTTGAGAGAAAGATATCTTGGTAAATTGCTTGTTTATTTTTTCGACGAAATGAAATACTCAGGACATAGGATAAAAGTAATACTTACCAGACGTCGAGGTGAAGTCGATCTGTATAAATATCGTCGATGTCCCTGCGTGAATAAATACTATTAAGAAAATGCAATCACAGCGTTATTATTGCAAGCACGCGAGTGCATACAATGCTGAATGCAAAAACTTAGTGCACACGTATCAAGCAATCGCCAACTTTCATCAAGGATGTGCAACAAGACAACTCTGGTAACTTTTGTTTCTTTAAAAAAATTATGCCAAATTTTGTTTCTGTAGAAATGATTATACACATCAAACCACACAGCCAGGAATATAATTACACATGAACACAGCTTCCACTGAACTTCCTTCTAGAAAAATCAAAATCTTGCACGCCACCTAGGTCTAACTGTCCCCTCGTGGAAGCGGCCTTCGGTATCGTCCTAAGAGGTGGCACTTCACAGGATCGTTAATTAAAGTTATTCGTGCCGTACCGTATTTAACCAATTCTTCTCGCTTTGGCACTGTAGAATCATATCTGAAAACTTCCAGACCTTTGTCTATGAGAAGTGACCATGCCCTCAACATTGGAACCTTTTTCACACACACTGACATGTTCAAGTACAGCTTTTTCCTTTCAACTATAGAAGCCTGGAATATGCAGCTCGCAAGTACTCATTCTCCATCACTTCAAGAATTTTCGGAAGGCTGATCACGAATGTTGATTGGTTTTTTTTTGTTTTCCCCACTTCTGCAACAGCCTCACTGAGGCTGGAGTATGATAACAGAAATAAATAAATGAAAATGTTTTTTGCCGTTCGCTTCGTGTTAGCGAGTGACGGTTCGTTGTCCCAGTAGTGCATCTTCCAGAAGCACCAACCGCATTTAGCCCCCTATTAGAAAACTGCCGCAGTAAACACTGCGGAAGGGTAATGAGGTCGACAGGCGAATATCGAGCCTTGAAGGAGCGAGACAGAGGCCAGAGGGACGTAGAGGAGTTGAGCGCGCTCGAGCTTCAAGCTATACGAGGAGGAGGAAAAAACCTTTATTGATGCTGGCTGTGCCAGATAGCCCTTATACCCACCGGGCTGGTTGACATCCCTAGTTCGGACGTCATTAGTCGAGGCCACCACCCGAGCCCACTGGACTAGAGTTCGCTGCTCCTCTAGTGTGAAGCTATTGAGTAGGGTCGTCTCCCAGTCCTCTTTGGTAAGTTTGGGAAAGAGGGTTAATTTTTGGTTCATTTGGCAGGCCCAGACCATGTGGTAAGTGTTTGCCACTTCCCCACAGTACTGGCACTGCCCGCTTATTTTTGGGTCGTAATATTTGAGTATGGCTGGACAGAGCAGCGTGTTTGTCTGTAGGCGCCGCAGGATGCGCTCCTCCGTTTTCGAGAGTCCCTTCGCTGGTGCGGGGTACAAGCAGCGTTGCTCAATGTAGTATTCTTTGATTTCTCGAAACCGTGTCAAAGGTGTGGGACGTTCAGGTCTATCAGGGGAACGGGGAGCTTCCCGGGAAGTAAGCCCGCGGGCCGCTGCATGTGCGGCCTCGTTACCCTGTAGACCCTGATGTCCCGGAGTCCATGTAAGACGTTTTGGGGTAGGATCGCGGTTCCTGATGCTGAATTTTAAAAGTCTATTAGCCAATGGAGAGATTTCTCCTGCAAGATAGCTCTCGCAGGCTCTTCGAGAGTCTGTAACTATTTGTTTTGAGTTTGGATGGGATACTGCCAGTGCAATGGCCACCTCCTCCGCCTTACTTGAGCTCGTGGCTTTGAAAGTGAGGCCGTCCACCTGCGTTCCTTGATGTATTACCGCCGCTGTGTAGTATCCCCTAGGTGACGTCCCGGCCACATCAACGTAATAGACCCCATTACTGGAGCCAAGCCGTTGTTCAAGTGCCTCAGCGCGCGCTTGCCTTCTACCCTGGTGCGCCTCCCTGGTCATATTGCGGGGAAGAAGGGACACCCAGAGTTTTGTTCTCCAAAGTTCAGTAATACGCTCCGCGTTTTTGATTTCGCATTCGTGCCGGATCAAGAGGCGGTCAAGTAGGCGCCGCCCGGGGGGCGTCTGCGTAAGACGTGTATATTGATTTGTGAGGTGGGCTTCTCGGAGCTCTTGTATAGAGTTAGACTCCCAATGCAGAGAGTTTCTGATTTGAAGTGCTGATGGGTAAATCAAGTGCGTGCTTAATTACTTTCTTAAGAATAGCATCGACTCTGTTCTCTTCGTGTTTAGTCATCCGTAAGTATGGTAATGAATATAGAATCCTGCTAGTTACAAAAGCATTGGCGAGTCGAATTGCGTCCCTTCCTCGTAGCCCCCCGCACTTGTTTGACACTTGGCGGATCATGTGCCCGACCTGTTCTCCAATTTTCCGTAGTTTGTCTTGCGTGGTACTGTTTTTTGTTCTGTTGTGAATCAGAAGGCCAAAGATTCGTAGTTCTGAAACCTCTCGTATGGTTGATCCTGATGCTATCAAGTTTAGGGTCGTCCTATCTTTAATGTTTTTTCTGATATGCAGGAATTCAGATTTGGTTGGAGCACACTGCAACCCAATCTGGGCCACATATTCCTCCACAATAGAGGCGGCCTGCTGCAGGCGGTATTTTTAATAAGTAAGTTTATTTACAGAACAGGCGGTCTTCAATTTCTCCTAAACTGCCCCGATTCATCCAGATTGTTATATCATCGGCGTATATTGCATGATATATCCCATCCACTACTTCCAATGCTTGCGGGAGCTTCATCATGGCAATGTTGAATAGCAGCGGAGATAGGACAGCTCCTTGGGGGGTTCCCGCGTCCCCATTTTGAATGGTCCATGTTTCTCGTTATCTATGCGAATGAACGCCAGTCTCTCAGAGAGGAAGTCTCTGATGTAGGCAAATATTTTCTTACCGCAAGGGACACTACTCAAGTTCTTCAGAATGCTTTCATGTTTAACGTTGTCGAATGCGCTTTTAAGATCGAGTGCAAGGATTGCTCTGGCGTTGTGCGTCGAAAGAATGGGTTGGATAATGTCTCGTTTTAGTTGCAAGAGGATATCTTGCGCAGACAGATGTGGCCTAAAGCCAAACATGTAATCTGCGAAATGCCCCTTGCTCTCGAGGTACGTGGCGAGACGGTCTCTAACCATTGTTTCCATTAATTTGCCGGCACATGAAGTAATGATATAGGTCTGAGGTTGTCTGTGCTGATTTCCTTGCCTGGTTTGGGGATGAATGTAACAACTGCTGTTTTCCATTCAGTTAGCAGTGGTTGGCCATCCCAGATCGTGTTAATGTACTGCAATAGATGCCGATAAGAATCGTCTGAAAGATTTGCTAACAGTTTTACCGTCATCAGGTGTCGGCCTGGGGCAGTGCTCCTGCGCATTTTTATCAGTGCTGCTTTCAGATCGCACATTTCAAAAGGGGCATCGAGCTGACTGTTTTCTCTACCTGCGTATTCATATGCGTTCCTGTTGGGATCCGTGGCGCGACATAGGTATCTAGCACAAAAAGCATCAGCCAGGTGGTAGTTGGTTCCATGAAAACTGCGCAGGGCTCGACGGAGCTGCTTTTGCGCTTCTTCTCAGGTTTGGGCGGGGTCCACGAGAGTTCGAAAAAGGCGCCTTGCTTTCCTTGTATTCATTCAAGCTATACGAAACCCTGCCTCCCGTTTCGCTGAAACGCAGAGTTGTAGTTAATGCATGAGCACAGGCACGAGTTACCTTATTGCTCAGAAGCACACATCGTGCAGTTTCCCTCCTTAATTGACGGTTAGAATAAACACATTCCAAGTACCAGTGCTAATTGTGTGCTTTCAAATGCGAATGAATTTCATAGTCGGGCTATGTCAGGCATCCGGCGGCAGCAGCTGCGCGCCGGCATCTCTCCGCTCTCACACTCTTTCTCACAGCAACAGCTGCGGGCGCGCACGCTCACCCTCGCCTCTAGAAACCGGAGGATGTGCTGCTGAAAAGTCTTCTCTCGCCATTCGCTCCTTCTGCTCCAGGCGCCCCACTCTACCATCCACTCGCACCTCACTCTCGACCGTTCGCTGGCTGGGCCCCTTTCAAGCCGATGGCAGAAGTCGGTGAAGGCGAATGTCTGTCAGAAACAGTGCCCTCTCCCGGCACAAGAAACGCATCCGCATTTTCTCACGATTCCCTTTGAAGAGTTGAGTGCATTTTTTTATTACGACCTTTGCGTGGGAATCACCATACGCTAGGTGCACGTGTAGTTAAGAACTCCAGCTACCACAATGGTTCAATCGTGATGATAGTTGTCAGTCGTCGCGATGAAGATGTCTCATTAGGCGTCTACTTGGGTGCATCGACGTCAAGCAATGTTATAGCTTCCAGCCGCCAATAGACACGGTACAAACTCTCATACTCACTACGTAATAAGCACAACATCTAGCTCTCAGGAAAGAGCTTGCTTTCTTGTTTATTTCCTCTAAAAAAAAGGTTCCTAAAAGGCTAGCTCCCTGTCGTGTTTGCCTTAGGTGACTGTACTTCTGTGATGATAGCTTTCACTCTCGTGTAATACCGATTCATGTGAAAAAGAGATTCAATCATGCTTGCTTTTAGTTATTTTTTTTGTTTCTTGCTCTGTGTATATTACATCATATTTGTAAAATTTCTTTACTCTTCTATCGACAATCAGGACCCGTAAAGGTGATACTCGAAGCAGCCCGTTTTTTTTTGCAATTTTTAGCTTGATTATTGTTGGTATTTTGTTAGTATTGACATTTTCGTCCTTTTTTTATCGAATCATCTAGCTGTTCGGCTTCGTCACTTTTGTGTACACTCAAAGGAGGGAAAAAGCACTTTCGTGTCGTGTAAACAACAACCTGACAGACGAGTTTGTTTTCTTCCTTTTATTTGAACCGAAAAAAATCGATAGATTTCACGGTCCCTGTTCCTCAAATCGCGACTACACATCAATGCAGAGGCCATCGGATCGATACCGAGACGACGTGAGCAAAATTAAATTGCCATTCCTGAAAGCTACTATCCTCCACTTTCACCCCCACTCCTCAATACGCTCACCCCGATCTCTCAACTCCAAACCTCCCAGTGCCCTCTCCTTCTTGCCCAAATCGGGCTTCTTGCTCTCTCCCCAACTTCTCTACTGCAAAACCTGAAACAATAGGTGAACGGGAAGCAAAAATGTCAAACTCGCTCTTCCGGCCCGTTCAACTTTGATTGTTCCGAGCTGCAAAACATGACGTCCGTACCGGCGTGAATGGCGCAAACAAGGCAGGCGACAAGCAAAGTTAGAAAAAACAAACAAAAAATACTAAAGCGAAAAAAAGAGTGCGAGAGATGAATCCAACAGCTGCTTTCAGACAAGCTTATACACTCTCGCTTTCTTTTCGTTTGTTTTATTGACTCCAAATCGAAGAGCGCCGACCCGTTCTGTGAATCGAGCCAGTTTGGTTGCATTCGCGAGAAGAAGGGATACAAAATGGTGGGAGAGATAAGATAAAAAATTAATCGGCAAAATGGACAATTCCGAAGAGATGTTTAGTGAGAGAGAGGGAGAGACGGAAAGGAAGGGAGGTGCTTTCTAGTCGCTTCGAAGAAGACGACGACGTGGCGGTTGTGTTCGCTTAAAGGGAGCCTCTTTTTGTTTCCCCGTTTTCTAATCCTCAGTTCGTTCATCTTTTTGTTTTGTTCCTTGTTCTTCTGCTTTACGCTCGTGTAGAAGGCATATTTGAGAAGCAGCACGTGGCGTCGCGAGATGGTTCAGTAGTGAGAACGCTTTTAAAACAAATTTAAAAAACGAAAAAAAAAAGTGGAGAGTAGAGAAGATCGATATCTCTTTCCTGTTGATGTCATCTGAGAGCCGTGTAGTACGTGCCCCGTTGGCGCGATAAAAAGAAAGAGAGGAACTAGAAAGGAAGTATGACACGCTGTTCACCCCAAACGGCAGATGGAACAAACAAACAAATCGATAGAAACGAGTAACGGATTTCGCCGGAATGTAGAAAGCCATAACACCCCCGCGCACCTTATGGGAATCCAAGTTAGAGCTAAATTTCACGCGCTAGAGTGTTACAAGACTCAGTGCCGATTTAAGGGGGAATTGATTGTTAGGTAAAAAAAAAGGTAAAAGAGCCGTAGGTGCTGTTACGTAATGAAGCGTTTCAGGGAGCTTTTGCGTCGGATTTGAGCGATTTCAGATTCTTCATTTTCATTCGATTTGTAACAAGAAGGGTCGTCGTCCGCATGTAAGACACTTCGCAGATGGCTTTCGATCGGCTGAGCTGCGTTGCGCAATTAGCAAAAGACAGCCAAAAACTTGAAACGCCACATTATATTGATGAGACCGTTTGCTCACGGTTTAAGTAGCTGTTTGTTTATTTCTCTTTTTTTCTTGTTGTTGTTCACAGTGTCGGACGTATATTTTTAGGTGTGGGCCCAACTAGAACAAGTAAATGGTTCTCGTTTGAACATCCACAATAGAAAACAGGGATCTTGCTTTAGCACAGTCTTGAGCAAATGCATGAGGCCCTGATCCTATTGCTAAATGCACATCGATAGCGTCGCTTTGATATAGTATAACTTCTACAGAAATACAGTACCATTTACACTATTCTATTGTCATCCCATGTACGGATATCCTAAAAAGCTTTAGCCATGCTGATTGGTCAGTGCGGGGTGTAACGTATAGAGCATCCCTCAATATTTACAAGATGGAGCTGTGGCGCTGCGATCGTTCCGCCACCGTGGTAATTCAGAGTAGTTCACTTATTTGTCCGGTCTTTCTACTAGATGTTTTGAACGCGCTTCTGGCTTTGGCTATTGCTGTGTTTCGGTCTTGCTTCGAGTGAAAGAGTGGACCACTTCGATCTCCGTACGTTTATTTGACTCAGTGAGCCTAGAAAGTTCAAGGTGGCGAACTGAAGATGCTGAACATTCGCTGTACGAAGCGAATGCAGGACGCGGATCCAAACGGAACCGAACGAACGAAATTTATACAAATCCGTGTACCACTCATCATGCCCATGCTCACTGAAGGAAATCTGTCCACAACTCATGATTTCAGTGCTGGTTCAAGCACCATGCATTGCAGCTCCTACTAGAGGAAACAAAAAAGGAGCGAAAAGTTCAGACAAGACACAAGTTGAAGAAGGGACGAGAAGCATAAAGCAACCTGCCAAAGCCTCAACCCTACCAAGCTCCTACAGACACTAGCGCCAAAGTTTCTTCTAGTGTATTATTAGGAAGCTCTGTGGAAGAACGTGAAGCTTTTTTTTTCGTGAAATGTGGGAACACGTCACTCACAGCCGGAACCTCTCGTTCCAGCGCGGGTTGAGCGTGGCCGGCTTGACGGTCGTGGTGCGTATGAACTTTGCCGGCACGGTGACACCCTCCAGAGAGCCGCTCCGAGGCTCGCGCTTCTGGAACGACGCGCCCAGCTTACGCAGCGAGCGCCGCGGTGAACCGGTGGCGCTGCCGGCGGGCGAACGTCCCCCGGAAGGCGGTTCCTCGTCCGAGCCGCAGCCGCTAGTGGCGCTGCTGCTGCGGCGTCGGCGCCTCTGGGGATCAGAGTTGCTGGAAAAGAGTAAAAACAAAAAAAAAGGAAAACTGTGAGCTTATCGTATACCCGATTTAAGAAAAAAAAGAACTTGGGGGCAGCTATGCACTAGTGGTGAGAGAGAGAGATAAAGATGCAAGGAAAGGCAGGGAGGTTAACCAGACGCACATCCGGTTTGCTACCCTGCACTGGGGAAAGGATGAAGGGGAGAAAAGAGGTTGCAGAGAGATGAGAAGGTACACAAAATTACGAGCACACTCGGGGAGCAGACACAATCTACAGGCGGTCGCTCAGGTTTGTTGACTTTAGGTAAAGTAGCAGTGCTTTAGTTGCTTTCTGCGCAACTGAGGCAGATGCCCAAGGTCCTAGTATCTTCTGCACACAAAATGGTCCGGGGTCAAGTTGATTCAAAACTAGTGGTGAGAAATCTAAGAAAACGGCGGTGCTAGTGCCCTTCCCTAGCTTATCTTCAGTCTCCAACTTCTCTACCTACTCAGATCGCTTCCGCTAGATTATGCTAGACCATCTCTTTTCCTTTGAGTCCTTCTGAAACAGTTCTTACTGAGCTATAACAGACATAGCTATCCTATGCATGACCATCTTAATCTCCTTTTCATTCTCTTCTCCCTTACATAACTGCTCCTCATCATCAGTTCCACTTTTCATTCACCCTCTTGCTGTAGCGTTATTTAGGGTAAAGAATGTATATGCCATCACTTACCCTTAATACATAGTTGCGCATTGACCCGCAGTTGAAAATTAGAGTAAGTCCTGTGTTTCCTTGCCATACCTCCCCATTTTGTGTTACAGTAATTTTTGATGTATTCCTGAACTCGACAAACATAACGTCTTTACTATCATTTCTTATAATCGCAACTCCTCCATGCAGGACCTCTTGAGCAAAAGTAAAACGTATCAGGGATGTCTTTTTGGGGCTGACACGCGTCCGTTAAGGGTTCACTAATTAAAAAAAGGAGGAGGGATCTGGGTGCTATAGGTTCCACCACAGCGGCCCACCTCCGTCGCACATCGGACGAGATCGAAAGTAAAAAAAAATAAAGCTCAGTTCCTCTTTTATGAAACCTGAGGAAGTGCGTGAAGCAGGCACCAATCGATTCCCGTCACGTCGTTGTTATTCTATTGGTGCTAGTGTTATTGGTGCTAAGACTGCTGTCATTGTAGTGGGGGCACTATGGTGTTTAGAAAAAAAAATTATTTACAGCATGTACAGAACACAAAGGCTTCATACCATTCTAGTAACAGGGCACATATACTTCGGCACATCTATATTTCACGACTAACATCACTACGTTACAGTGAAGACATTTGCTCTAATATACATGACCATGTTGGCATATATGTACACAAGAACTCAATGCGATGTCATGATACAATGGTATAACGATACAATAGATGCAATGAAACATGATATGTAACAAATGAAATCATATAAAACAACTCAACGAGCGCTGCTTAGCACCAAGTCGGTCGAAAAATGAGTTGTATCTTTTCGTGTTCCACCTTGACGAAAGGGCACGACCAATGCCGCAGAAACTCTTGCTCCCCGAGGAAGAAAAGCTCCTCAGAAAGAAACGCGAGGATCTCTCGTCTCATTCTCCCCAGTATCGGCCACAAGGCACGCCGGCGGCAATTGGCAGCTACGGCCTCACATCGGTTTCTCCAAAGGCTGAACAGCCCCGCAACTATTAACAGAGCGGAGAAGCGGCTACGCGGAAATCGGCCGTTGGACACGAAAGTTCGCACACCCTGTCCCCGAAAACTAGCATTAACCATTAACCAAAAAAGGCGGGAAACCACACATTCAAACGTCGCATGTCGATTGGTCTCTACCATGACGCAGTTGGGGCAAGTGGAAGTGCCATCTTGTTGTTGCGTGTTCGGGTCCAATGAGGTGGTTGGGTTGTTCTGGCGCTATTGACGTTGCGCAGCAAACACCTTTCCACACACCCCGGCCGAATTTTCAGACGCAATAAAGACTTTAGAGACGATGTAGACTGTTCAGTTTAAGATTGGATTGCCTGCGCTAACGAGTCGTAGCTGTCTGAATTTTAACGATACCAGACTTCTGTTCTTGCGGCTTACGTTGAGCAGCTGCTCTATAAGCTTTCACTAGCATAGGCACAAAATAATGTCTCACTTAACGCGGCCGTAGAGTTGCGGCGGCTCCCTCAGCCTTCATCTTGGGATTCGCGTGGCGTCGACGCTGCCTTTCCAGGAGCACTTGCGAAACGGCGCGCTGATGGGGCGCTAGAAAAGTGCCGTTCAAGGATGCATCGAGCGGTAGGCGAGGTGCTGGCGCCCTCTTTGCGCGGCGTCAGAATCAAACGTAGGGTTGCGAAAGGTTTTAGCAATTTTAGTTCAAATATATGCATTTTTTCTTGGCCATTTCTGTTCCATATATCGTTTTATTTAATATCTTCTTAGTTCATTGCGAACCGGTTTTCAGCATTACTTACATTGTTTTATGCCTGCTAAGCGCTTGATTGTGCGCGTCATCAGGCCACGTGAGAAGTATAGATTGGTGACAAGCCTTCAAGTGCAACGCTCACGAGAGGAACATATGGCAGCTCCAGCACTATCCAACCTGAGGAAGTGCGTAGCAAGATCACCCTGCGATTCCTGTTCGTAGAGTTGCCACTGCTCCGTTTCACCAAACTGCGGATGACGCCAGTGTTTAGAGTAAGCATGGAGGGCTTACCTGGTACCACCAAAGTCCTGTTTGAAAGATCCCAAAACTCGGTATGCGACATGCGTGCTGTGTTATGCTGCACTTAATCGACTTACTGCTTTTCACGGCAGTTGAGATACGCGTCATGTGTAGCTAGTTCCGTGAGGTTGTTTTCCCCTTCAGATGTAGCAACAATGCGCCCGTGAAGCGCGAGAGGGTGGGATTGTGATGGGGGTTGGGGAGGCTGGAAGATGTCATGAACGACAAGGACGTAACAACAAGAAACGCTCACTCACAAACACGGCTGTATTCCGAGCATGCAGTAGGGGTCGCTGTATCCGTTCGGGTCCTTGGCCTCGAGCCCCTGTGCCTCGACCACGGTCACGTTGAGCACCGGTATGGGCGGCTTCTCCTCTCTCGCCAATCCCAGGAGGCGCCGGTGGTTGTCGGGCGGCATGCCGAACGCCGCCTGGGCGTACCCGTGCAGCTCTCCAGGGCTGACGCCACCAGAGCAGCCGAGCTTGTGTTCAATCGTGTACAGCACCTCCACGTACAGCTCCTCCCACTGCGTAGACAATGGCGCGCAATAAGATGCTCAGATTGTAACAGATAAATAGATAGATAGATAGATAGATAGATAGATAGATAGATATTAGATAGATAGATAGACAGACAGACATAAGATAGATAGATAGATAGATAGATAGATAGATAGATAGATAGATAGATAGATAGATAGATAGATAGATAGATAGATAGATAGATAGATAGATAGATAGATAGATAGACAGACAGACATTAGATAGATAGATAGATAGATAGATAGATAGATAGTTAGATAGATAGATAGATAGACATTAGATAGATAGATAGATAGATAGATAGATAGATAGATAGATAGATAGATAGATAGATAGATAGATAGATAGATAGATAGATAGATAGATCAATGAACATACGCAACACAACATATCAAAAAACTACTTCGTAGATTCATTTTGCCTGCAACATTTATGTTAAATATGGATATGCTTAATTGATTTGTAAAGCAGTTACGAAGTTCTTGTTCATAATAAAAAAAAGGAGGTTCGGATAGCTCCCCCTACGTGCGGCAATGTGATTCTGTGTTTGATATTGCTGGAGGTTGCTTCTGATATTAACCGAAATGACAGTGTCACTAAACGAAAGTCAAACGCTTCAGTTGTCTACATGCTTGTTAGAAAAAAGATCGCGTAGTGTGACTTACCCGAAATCCGAGACGCTTATGGCTCCTAGAAACTCTAACAGGAAATCGGTTCAACAAACGCGCGGAAGGGTTACCTACGTTAAAAAAAAAACTATCCCGCAGGAACTCTAAGCACAGCTGCGTAAGCTTGAGCCAACCTTAACCGCTTCTGATATACTTCAATAAAAAAAATACGTATGACAGTTTTCCCACTGCGAATGCTGAGGAAGTCCGTAGCAAGGGAAACCAGATATTCACACCCTTATAGACCACCGTCCGCTTTGATTACCAAAGCGTCGATGACGCGAATACTTCAGGTGAGCTTGTAACGTTTCTCCAGCACTAGCAGAGTATTGTTAGGGAGAATCGCACAATCAGTCAGATACATAGTTAGCTCCGTTAGGTTATTTCACCCATCAGATGTCGCAAAGCAGCGCCCACGAATCGCAATCGAGAGAGGTACTCGCTCACTAGGTGAGCCCGTCGCCGGAATTTAGGGAATACATACGTAACGCTATTAGTTTTTTTTAAATTAATTACTAAAATTACAAGTTCATAAGGCTGGCTTGTTGTGACAGTTGGTACATAAAAACGACAGAGACTACGTACCAACTTGCCTAAGTTCCAACTTGACTATGTTCCAACTTGACTACGTTCTAGCTTGCCTATGTTTCAACTTGACTATGTTCCAACTTGACTATGTTCCAACTTTACTACGTACCAGCTTGCCTATGTTCCAACTTGACTATGTTCCAACTTGACTACGTACCAGCTTGCCTATGTTCCAACTTGACTATGTTCCAACTTGACTACGTACCAGCTTGCCTATGTTCCAACTTGACTACGAAACAGCTTGCCTATGTTCCAACTTGCCTATGTTCCAACTTTACTACGTACCAGCTTGCCTATGTTCCAACTTGACTATGTTCCAACTTGACTATGTTCCAACTTGACTACGTACCAGCTTGCCTATGTTCCAACTTGACTACGTTCCAGCTTGCCTATGTTCCAACTTGACTATGTTCCAACTTTACTACGTACAAGCTTGCCTATGTTCCAACTTGACTATGTTCCAACTTGACTACGTACCAGCATGCCTATATTCCAACTTGACTATGTTCCAACTTGACTACGTAACAGCTTGCCTATGTTCCAACTTGACTACGTAACAGCTTGCCTATGTTCCAACTTGACTACGTAACAGCTTGCCTATGTTCCAACTTGACTATGTAACAACTTGACTATGTTCCAACTTGACTACGTACCAGCTTTCCTATGTTCCAACTTGACTACGTAACAGCTTGCCTATGTTCCAACTTGACTATGTAACAACTTGACTATGTTCCAACTTGACTATGTACCAGCTTGCCTATGTTCCAACTTGACTATGCACCAGCTTGCATACGTCCCAACTTGACTACGTACCAACTTGACCAACTGACAGCATCCTTCCTGTTTCTGTCTCATTTTTATGTCTCGGATGCTTCTGCTTTCTTTTGGTGCCGCCGGTGTTCCTACCAAGGCTATGGGGATTACTTCTGAGTTGTTGCTGTTAGTTATTTTAAGCCCTGTTTGTTCATTTGAGGGACGTTTGGAGCACTGCTGTGCTTGTATTGAGCGCCTTACTACGAACGTATTCGCGTCACGTGACATAAATGGATGGTCGACAAGCCGCACTCCACAAGTGCCCCGCACCTAAAAACCAATGAACAAAATGAATGAAAGGCAGTCATATGCCAATATAGAGATAAAAAACTAGCCGCTCGTTAACACGTGTCTATCTCTGACACATCTAAATGTCCCTTCGCGCGGTTCGCGTTCAACCTGTTTCCGCTTCTCAGAAGCTGCCACCTTGCTACCTTCAATGCTGTGTTTTTGGGACGTTCAACCCCACATATCCATCGAATCAATCAATCCTTTGATGCCGTCATTATCCAGCGGACTTCTCGACCAGGCCGCCATACATAACCACCACTACAACACATTACGCCGACGTTACGTTCGACAGGGCTGGGAAAGATAGGGAGGAAACTCCCATAACACGCTTCGAGTTTTTATATACGCCACCCCCGAGTGGCACTGTCACAGCCGTAATACCTGGCGTGCCGTAAAGAAGAGCTTTGACGCGCGTTAGCAGCCACCCACGCCAAAAAACCGTTAAGCTCGCACCGAAGCCTTTATCGAGAACTCCTCCGCGCCGCACCGAAAATAACCACTCAGACTCGTGCCGACAGCGCTTCTCAGCGCACAAGTGGCAAGTCATCAGTCTTCGCGATGCTGTCAGCTTGATCGCTGCTCGAGGGTTACCGCCTCGCATATATATCTTCCGTAGACGCCAAACAGTGTTGGTTCGCTGATGCAACAGTGAGAAAAATAGCTGCTACCATACAGTTCTTAGTAAGAATCCCACAAACACTACTTTATCTCCCCTCATATATATATATATATATATATATATATATATATATATATATATATATATATATATATATATATATATATATATATATATATATATATTACGGAAGGCACGACAGGTCCGGGTAATTTCTATATTGAATGAAGTTGCAGATAGCACATTTGGAAAGGAAATTCCCTTTACTAACATTTCGGCCGTGCCACGGCCGAAACGTTAGTAAAGGCATTTTCCTTTGCAAATGTGCTGTCTGCAAGTACGTTCAATACAAACACAAACAGATATATATATATATATATATATATATATATATATATATATATATATATATAAAGAAATGTATACTTAAGGGTTCGTTTTTCCATGTTTTGACACAATAATATTGAGATATAACAGACAATAATGCCAAGGATTGTGTAATGAAAATACTTAGACTAATTTTAATTTAAATATGAAAAAAGAAAAGTGGGTGAAAAGATAACTTGCTTCGAAGGTCGCAGGTTCGGTTCCTGCTCACGGCAAGTTCTCTTTTCTCACACACGTTTCTTTCTTCACATTTACATTACAATTGGTTTAATAACTTCGCCTATACATGCCATGGCATATATATATATATATATATATATATATATATATATATATATATATATATATATATATATATATATATAAAGAAATGTATACTTAAGGGTTCGTTTTTCCATGTTTTGACACAATAATATTGAGATATAACAGACAATAATGCCAAGGATTGTGTAATGAAAATACTTAGACTAATTTTAATTTAAATATGAAAAAAGAAAAGTGGGTGAAAAGATAACTTGCTTCGAAGGTCGCAGGTTCGGTTCCTGCTCACGGCAAGTTCTCTTTTCTCACACACGTTTCTTTCTTCACATTTACATTACAATTGGTTTAATAACTTCGCCTATACATGCCATGGCATATATATATATATATATATATATATATATATATATATATATATATATATATATATATATATATATATATATAATTTGGAATGGTCGAGATGGTGTTTTGGCACAGCAATGCACCACCTGTGGCTGCAGATCACTTTTTCTTGATGCCGTGATTTTTAGTAAAAACAGAATTACAATGACAAGGGAGATTGCGGAGGCGGAGACGATTTGTAGATTAGGACTGAGCTGCGTCAGCACTCCCTCACTCGAGGTGTTTGCCAAAATGAATTTTCCTTCCTAAAGTATAGATTTTCGCCCATGGCAATTAGGGGCTTCAGAACTGCTTGGTCTGTTTTTTTTCCGTGTCTCGTAAGTATATATATATATATATATATATATATATATATATATATATATATATATATATATATATATATATATATATAGTGGGAGTAATAATTCAATGGGCCAGTTAGTCTTCGTGAAGGTATGGGATATGGCACAACGGGAGCGTTGTCAACAAGGATAAATATATTTATTTCCCAACAGTTTCGGGAGGGGTAACTCATCCCCTGATGAAGGGTGGACCCCTCCCGAAACTGTTGGGAAATAAATATATTTATCCTTGTTGACAACGCTCCCGTTGTGCCATATCCCATACTTATATATATATATATATATATATATATATATATATATATATATATATATATATTGTACGCTCCTCAATATAATTTTTGTTGGATGTTAGCTCTCCTCTTTGTCCCTTCCATTATCCTGTGTCTCACAGTTTTTACGCTCTACGTTTTTAGTTAAGTCTTGAGGTTGACTCGAACTTTGAGCGTCACCAAGGGAAAGAGCATCACCCTTATCAATTCATACAAAAGTTCCAGTTCAAGCTACAACAGGAAAAAATCTTTATCGTAATCTCAAGGCACAAAAATTGCATTATCATTATGTTATTCATTCTTTGTTCAAGTTTTACTATTTTTGGCATTGTCGTACAGTGGCAAAATCTTACATGATTAACGTTTTGTAGGAAAAGCAAGAAAATGTTTTACCAGTAGTGCATTTGAATTGTCGGCTTTACAAGTTCTCATATTACATAAATATTCCGTGAGTATATAAAGAAAAAACATTGCCACATTATGACGTCGAAGTTAAAAAATACTGCATTTTCAACCATATGGCAGCTTCCTTATCGAAATGTGTCAATCGAGTAACAAATATGAGGTAAACATCTTTGTGTATCATGCGTTATTTGTATGATACACTGAAAGTTAGAAAACAGCAATTTTTGCTGTAAGACGAGAATTCGAACTGAACAACCTAAAGGGTGCAAGAAGTTTGCCTTTGCCTCACCTTCACTGCGTAGCACGTCAGCACAAGATATCAGTAGGGACTTTAATCAAAGCTAATAATGGAAGTCGTACAATTGCTTGTCACTTGTTTTAGTAATGCCACTACGTACAAAATGGAAAACGGCTATAGTGTCGAAATTTAGGAACAGAGACGCTATTTGTCGTGTGTTTACACAACACACAGCGAGTGTGTTAAGTAGGCGTTTTGTTTCCGTGAGTCTGTTATGCGTATTTGCACTACACCGTGGTTATTATAAAGCACCAACTAGCCCAAGAAAAACTTCTTACTGCGGAATATTTACCCGTAGCAAGACGATAAAGGTTTGTGTGCAAAGTAACTCTATTTTCGATTTTTTTTTTTGTCCAATCAAGCAAAATAAAGAAGAATTACATATAAAGACGGAGATGACAACTATAACAATTTTCACACTGTTGCGACCCATTTGTAATCGGGACATTAACGCGTTCGACGCACTGCACATATTTACCGCCGGCACGCGAATATTTCGCATGCTTCGTACTTCATTTGTGACGGTGAAATATGAAGTACGCCTATAGCATCGAGAACACCGTGGGACATGTCGTGTGACAACGCCCAACACGCGCTACGATATATGTGTTGTCTCTATCACGCCAAAAAAAGAAAAGACAGTATAGGTTGTCGCTAACTAGCTCGCCAACGCATCGTGTTGAACTATATTTATTCCTTGCATTTTTTTTTTGTTGTTGGGGATGGTTACGTCGTCATTTTGTACCCTTATTTCCTTTACATATTATGTATCTTAACTATCAATTCGTTACCTCTTTCTTGTTAATCTGGTACTCCTGATGAGCGATACCGAGCTCAGTCTCCGTCGGTATTGGCTTTTCCTTGTCGGCGTCATCCTGCAAAGAGATAAAGAAAAAAAAGATAAGAAACCGAAATAGAGATCTTAGGAGAAACGAGATGGGGTAGACGGTCATTAATCTTCCGTTCCCAGGTGGTGTACCCGTCACTTGCGTCAGCGAGTGAGCTACGATTTAGTTCGTCCTATCATTTTTAGCTGTCGACTTTGGCCAATCGGAGACGCCCGCGGACGCCTCGTCATAGGCATCGATCGCTTATCTGAGCAGCGGATCGCACCCGCCCACGAATGTCGCTCTCACAAATCACCGGTGATAACTATATCGATGGCGACATGTTCGGCCTATAGGGATATGACGTCTTACTCGGGTCTTGGGCGTGGACCCACGCGCGTTACTTGAAATGACATGAAAGTTTAAGCATTCGTCAACACTGTTCTTTTCTTTTTTTTTTGAGAAGTGAAGCCTCATAAAACCGCGCAATGTCCCTCCACCCATCAAACGCAGCCCGGCGTTTACAGCAGATATAGAAACCAAAACATGTGTGAACTACAAAAATGTTATCAAGTTATCGAAAGGCTGTTAACTAGAACAAACAATACAAAAGGCCACAGCACCATAAAAACACCGAACTTCAACCACCCATCATTCAAATCATAGGGCAGAACAAAAGGTTAACAATAACAAAAAAAAAGCTTTTAACGAGAAGAGATAGAGAGAAATAGAGATGAAAGGCAGGGAGGTTAACAAAGCTTTCGCTCTGTTGGCCACCCTACACCCGGGGAAAACAGGAAAGGAGGAATATTACAAAGGAAAGAGAGAGAGAAAAAAAGAAGAGGTGAATAAACAGCCAGCTTGAGTTTACACAGCACCATCAAGCAATGTTCTTTTACAAGCGCTCGTGAAGTTCAGAGGTCCTTAAGAAGTACAAGAAAAAAAATTGAATGCCAAAATTTATGATCCGATGCACACTGCTTCTACCCGTCGTCAGCATTCACCTGATGATGATAATGATGATGATGATGGTGATGATGCTCCTTGGATCATTGGCACCTACCCACTCTGGGGGAGCGGCCATGAGTCGGGCGGATCATACATACTGAATTTATGATTATTATTTAGTAAGAGCTAAATAATTCTGATTTAAAGGTACGTTAAATATCAATAATTGTAATTTTAGGTTGCAATGATTTGTGTAGTATCCCAGAGACTGAAGATCTTTTGACTAGGAAGGCTGAATAAAGAATTGTTAATAGTTGATACACCCACCAAATCTACTCGTGTCGCATATAAATTTTTCGACGGCTTTGAAAATATTCCTGTCCGAATGCCCCAGCGCAAAGGCCCCCAAATGATAGCAGAACGGCCGACATAACCGGTAGACCACATTGCCGCCATATAATTTCGATACGTTTTCTGTGTAAGTAAAAACGTCGGTAGCTCAATAAGAAGTGTTCGACAGTTTCGAGTTCATTGCAATAGGAGCAATAAGGAGAGACTGCCAAACCCACTCTGTGCATTCACCTTGTCGATATACGTGGCCCTTTTAACACGTTGTTCTCTTCCAGGTACTCTGCGTTATATTACAATATATTTCCAGCAGTGTGGACGCTACTTGCTGCAAGAAAGTGACGTGCCTGCCCAGCGAGGCATAATTATCCTTGCAACCACATTATATTTGGCAAGGTTAAGAGAAATTAACTCTGTTGCGCGAAAAAGTGAAAGTACAAAAGGAAGACAACTGGACACAGGGCCCTGTCCAGGTGTCTTCTTTTTTTACTACATTTTTTTGTCGCGCTAATCAGTCAAGATGAAGTACCAACTCGCCCAGCAGTTTGTGCTTCTCTTTTTAAAACACCTGCGGTTGTTTGGCGAGTGTTACATGTAATCCAAAAGAAGGCAAACACGCGGGGAGAAGTAAGAGAAAGTTAGGTGGGCAGATGAAATTAAGCAGTTCGCGGGTATAACGGGGTGGCTGAAAGCACAAGACCAGGTTGATTGACGGAACATAGGAGGGGCCTTTGGCTTGCAGAGGGCATAGTCAGGCTGATGAAGGTGATGATGATGATGGCATCAAAGTAATACTTAATAAGTAAAGCACTACTGGCACGGACGTCATTTGGTTCTTACAGTAGGGTGGTTCCACGAGAGATCGACACGGGTCCAAAAGTTGATATTTTAGATTTCATTGAGTATTTTATATTTCGTGCACCTCTCACCAGGTAGCGCGAAAGTCAACTTCATTTTATGATTTAACGGCATAACTGACGAGAAAAAAAAATATCAAACTTCACCAACACGGAGGCACCAATTTCGTCACCTGTCATTTTCGAAAATTGCACATTCTATAAAAAGGGAAATATTTTTGTTTCAAGGAAGATATTTTTTATGTCTAATAAAGAATGAATTTATACGGTTTCAAGCTTGTAGAGCATAAGAAAATAGCTTTTAAAAATGTCTAATTTTGCGACAGTTTAAAATAAGTTGCGTGTTCCCCATTTTTTTCTCCGAAAGTAATGCAAGCAGCGTTTTCAAACTTGACATGTTCTAAGAATATAGTGTGTTCATTAGGTACATAAATAATTGCTGCCGTAGGGCAAATGTAAATTTTTATATATTGCCTCAAAGTTCTCATACTGGCAAAAGTGTACTCCACTGAAATTTGAATAATAAAAAAAAACCCATCTTCGATTTTTCTTAAAATCTCGTAAATAGACAACCGAAGGCCATCATACAGTAATATAAAAAACATGTTGCATTATTTTGTTTTTAGCGACAATATTCGTGGTACAAACCAGAGCTTTTTGAGAATGCGCTGATAAGTTGAGAAATCGGAACGGAAAAGCGGCAATAAGCTTCAAACGAGACTAACGTGACCGCATTTGGTGAAGAAAGGCTATTTTAGCAGATAGGAGTAACTATTTTGAACACGATATTCTACAGTATCTGAATTCACTCTTATACGTAGAGCACTGAGACTTCTAATATGTGGTGCCTCTCCATTACTGACACACAGATGGAGCTGCTGTGACGGCCGTGTGTTCGCAACACGTTTAATGAGTTCATAAACGACTCATAACAAATTTTTATCATTTGGTGCACGAAGACTGCCGCATTAGACTGAAGAATACGCTTTCGGGCAAGTTGTCATCCGTCGTCTGCTCTACAGATGAATTGCTGTGCGCCGCATCTCGGAGGCATTGCTTTAGATCATATGGTTCAAAGTAAGGACAAAGATTACGCCTCCCGTAATTTTATCGACAAAAACATTGTGAAATTCATTTTAACGTACTATACTTCAGTTTTGCATTCGCACTGTGGATACTTGCGGATGCTGTTTTACGTCTGTTCTCATTAAAGGTGAGAGACATAGGAACAGACGACAGATAGATCACTTTCGTGCTGCTGGTTTCACGCATAGTTGCATTGCCAGTAATTTGAGCCTCAAGGAGCGTGGCGATGGCTGACCACTTCAGCCGGGATAGAGTTTTTTGTTCAGATTACCTCATGTTGCATACAAAGAAAATACCTTATCAAAGAAACTTCCGCAAGGTCGAAGAGATCGGCCTGTTTGCCCTCCAGAAAGCTTTTGCCGAAAGCTGCCCGCCATGCACATAACAACGACCACGTCTGCCTGAACTGATTCAGACGCCTCAGAGGTATGCTGTCTTCGTCTAATGGCTTCTCAGCTGAAAGAGCTGATGAGTTTTTGTCGGAAGAAGAAAAAGGCAGAAGTCAGAGCGGTGCGTAAACACGCCTGAAGCATTGCCACATATGCGACTGGAGAAGCTGCATGCGCAAAACAGCAAAGTTCATGCAGAGCCAAGACAACTTAGCAGCAATTCTACAGTAACCGTGAAATGCCACCGTAACGTGTGTAACCGCCACTTTCAACCATCAGATCTAAAATGCAGTGTGTGTGCCCAGTGGTTCGAGAACTTCAAGCAAGCCTCTGAAGCGTGTTCTTCGTATCAAAAGCGCATGCGTTTGTTGACACTGTTGCCGAGCAATATAGAGCGCCGTAAACTCCAAGCACTTATACCAAACTTGTCAGCTTACATGTTATACAGATCCCGACGCTGGCGCGCAAAACACGGTATATGGTTAGCACCGATTGCGGTAAAAAGGTCACGGCTGAACCCCATGGACGTCCAGGCAGCAATGACTTACTACTCCAAAGATGAGTATAGCTGCTCTCGGCAGAGACCCAACAAAAAAGATGTAGTATCTGCTATCATTGACGGAAAAAAAGGAGCTAGTTTCGAAAAGGTTTATGACCCGTTCGGTGCGAGAGGCTTACCGTCTCCTTAGAGAAGATAATCCGAACACGTCTACTGGGCTCTCAAAAGTTTTATTCACTGAGGCCGAAGTGGGTTCTTCTTGCACCACACCAAAAAGTGTGCATTTGTATATACTGTGCTGATGCCACGGAGTGTGTTTATGCCCTAATAGACGTCACTGAAGGAGTCAACACGGCGGACTTCTTGAAAGAACTATGTCTTTGCAGCTCCCCTACAAGTGATTGTTTTTTAGGCCATTGTGACTATTGTGCTAAGGAGGGCGCTCTAATAGCCACATGTTTAGGAATCCCTGAAGATATTGAGGTAGCCTATGCAGTATGGGAAAATGGCGATCTAGTAAAAAAAAAACAGCCCAGGCAAGTGCTTTTCTGCGAGAGCTAAGGCTATGGTTCATGAAGTGGATCACCCATGATTACATATGATAAATTCAAGAATCAGCAATACGCCAGGCGAAAGAGAACAAAGAAAAAGAATCTTGCATATTTCACTTTGATTTCGCCGAAAATTGGACAACCATTTTACCGAATGAGGTACAGTCGTATCACTGGCACAAAAGACAGGTGTCTATATTCACGTGTATCGTCACAAAGAAGTAATCAATTCAAAGTTTTGCCGTCATCAGTGATGAGACATGCCATGATACTGCACATGCCTGTTTTTCTCTACAAATAATTCACAACTATATGAAGGAACAACTTAAGCCTGACACGCATGTTACTTATGTTTCTGATGGGGCATGCA